ATTTTTGCATTTCGTGCAATCCGTGCATCGTGCAAGACTTTGAGAATACCCCTATTTAAACAGGTTTATTTTGTCAATTGCATAAGCATCTTGCCATCAGCTGTTTTTCTTACTAGCAAATAGTTCTAGTAAAAATTTATCCAGTAAAACTTGTAAGTACAGCTGCCATTTTTGCTCTCTCAATTCTCTCTCTTTTGCTGGTTTCTTGCAAGTTTTTGGGTACGAAAACGCATTCCAACAAAAACTAGTAAAACTAGTACTGGATTTTACTGGATAGTGCGTACGCGAACAGGGCTTATATTTTCTACATCGTGGTTTTGATATAAATACATATACAAACAACAAGCGTTGACAGCAATTTGAGATAGAAAACTAACTCTAGGCGAGAGGTAACTATTGTTTACCGTGTACACAGCTTGTAGAGTACATGGTAGAGAGAAGTTAAGATTTCTCTCTTTTGTCTCTAGCTAGAGTGAATATCTCCTACAGTTGCTCTACAGTGTAAACTTAATTGAGAGAAGAGATTTTTATTTCAATAAAATTCTAGAGAGATTTCTCTACCGTGTACGCTTAGCTTTACATTCGGAATACATTTTTGTCACGGTGCAGCGAACAGAGGTGGCGCCGTCAGTGGTACCGCTACTTTGGTTTTGCCGATTTTGACAGTTGTGGTAACTTGTAAACAAATCTTTGTTTACAAATCACCGAAAGAGAAATTTAATTATATGTGAAAAATCTGTTTAAATTGTGTTAATTTGCAATTTGTGAGTGATTTTTGAGTTGAAGACTGCGTAAAAACTAATAAAATGAAGTGCTGTGTGTTAAATTGCGACAGCCGTCAAGATGCAAGATGCGTAGATGCAAGTGTAGCGCTGGGACGAATCGCTGCATTTTGTGTACATAGGGCACGGCAAAGCCGTTCCCGAAATGTTTCTTTATTATTACATTAACAGCATTTCCTCACAATGATTTTGCTTCTGCTCCAAGCAGCCTCCATTAGCAAGTTAACCAATCAATCCCGCGGAGAGGCTGCCGCAGTCTTAATTGCAAAGCAATGGAGTGCACTAAAACGTTTGCTGAAGCAGCCTCACTTGCAAAGCAATGGAGTGCACTAAAATGTTACCTATTCTCTAATAGATTAGGTGAAAAATGCAATATTTTCGCGTTTAGCAAAATTAAAACACGTTTTTCACTGTAAAATGAACTGTTTTGGAAGTTTTAACTCGTTCTTCTTTTCGCTCTATTCTTTGTTTACTTGTGGTACACAAATGTGAACGCCCAGGCGCAATCTTGTATTCTATCATTCTTGCATTTTTGTTTACTTCAGCGTTGCCGTCTTGGTCCAATTGAACCAGAATTGGTAGCTTTATTTTCCTTTGGTAGTTTGGTTGGCTTGGTAAAGCTTTTGGTAGGCAAAAATATTTTGGTAATGCAACCAGCCAGCAAAAAATCAGAAAAAGAAAAAAGGGGTTGAAATGCGGATTTCTGTCCATAGGTATGTACAGACAAGTACCGAAAATTGTTTTGAAATGTATACGTTTTTCGCTGCTTTTCTGGAATTATTCTCATTGAATTTTTCGTTCAATACGCTTTCATTCTGCACTTTAAAGATGCGCCTGACGACATCTAACCCGGCACCTTCTCAAAGCTAAAATACTAGCACGTTCCTCTGAACGCTCAGCCACTGTCGAGTTATATAAGCTTTCAAATGTTCAGGTTGAACAAATAAAATACAATTATTGCTTTCATATAACATCATTATTTTCTAACGTTTTCCTGATAAAAATTAATGAAGACTGTAAGCGTTCTCTGTTCGTTTCTGGATGCGAAAACCAAATTGTTATTTGAATGTTTTTGGATACGCGAATGAACGAAAATTGTAGTAGTTTCTTGTTCGTTTCTGGATACGGAAAATTGTAATTTGCGTATCTCTGCTGGCTTGGTTACATCAAAAAATGGCTTTCAATTTGCTCATACGTACGAGTTTTCTTTGTTTTTTTCCATATTTTAGTACTAAAACGCACTTTCCAAAGGTATGACCGATAAGCTGTTGAAATTGAACGAAAAATTGCCTACCTTGAAATAAAAACTGCATTTCTTGAAAGAAAAATTGCTAATAGGCAATTTGAAAAGTGTGACACTCACTTTTGGTAAAAAAGTGTGACTGTATGCAAACTGAAATACATTTTTGAGCAAGTTATTACAAATTTTAAGTTTGGAATGTTTGGAATGAATGGTTAACCACCACTGTAATTTTTTGGTATTTCATTTTTACTGCTAATTTGTGTAGTTAAAATCCCGTAAATTCAACAAATCTCGTTTAAATGGTGAACATTTTTTTGGTAGTTTGGAAATTGAATTGGTAGGCGTTTTGGTACCTTAAAATATACTCAAGTGGCAACACTGGTTTACTTATTCGTTATAGCGCTCCGGATAATATAGAACCGGATTATCTAAACGAATTTGCTTTACTGCTACAACATTCTGCTTTATTCATCATATTTTATGTACGCTCATATTCTTAGATTACCACAATTAAGGGATGTGGCCAACCTTTTCAACTGAGGGGTGACAAATCGCCATTTGGACTCCCAAGGCACACAAAGGTGCTACCATTCAACTGTAACAGACTTCAGAGCAAGATCGAGGAGATAACTATATCATATTACTAGATCGCCCTCACCCGCTTCGCTGAGTGTATGAAATTTCTACGTGCTACATTGAGTAAAATTTATTTCAAGAAAACTCAATTAAGGAGGTTTAAATTTTGTTTAACCATCTTCAAAATAATTTCAAACTACATAAAACTTTCTTTCTAACTTATCACACTTTTTCAATTAATATATCCCCTGAACTCAATTTGAGATTTTAAACAGATGGAAACCCCTTACATGCAGTTTTAAAATGAAGCCATTGAACCATTTCGATCGATACCCATATTGTAATAATTCATTTAAATTATTGAATAGTGTAGCGTATTTAATTATAGTATTGTATTTTTAAAAGAATTTTATTTTTATATAAACTTAATTTTAATTTAACGTATTTTAAATTTCAAAGAAGAAGAAATTCTGAAGTAATAAAAAATTTTCTTTTTGATTTACATAAATTGAAAAAGAACTTAATTCAATAATTTCAAAAATAACAAAGTACAAAAATGAACAAAGTACAATAGTAAATAGTATTAACACTACAATACTGCCCCTTCCAGAGAGTTATTATTATACAAATTGAAAGTAACTTGTTTCTTTTTAGTCGTTGTTGAAACTATATGGTTGTTAGTGTTATGTGGTTCTGTTAATTCAACTATTGCTGGCTTTAGTCTGTCAATCGAAAAAATTTTAATTTCATTATTCACATCTACCTTAAAATATTTTTTGTCTTTTTCAATAACTCTGTAAGGCCCTTCATAAGGATGTTGAAGAGAATGCTTGTTAACAATGCGAATAAAAACAAATTTGCAAGTTTGTAAATCTTTTGGAACATAAATTCCTGAATCGGAATTTTTGTGATGTTTTAAATTTGAATTAAAGTTTTTAAAACGTTCCCGTAAACTTCCTAAAATTTCGGCGGAAGTAACATTTTCTGTAGTTGGCACAACAAGTTCTCCAGGTAGACGCAAATTTTGGCCAAAAAGCATTTCAGCTGGAGTGGCTGCAATATCTTCTTTGTACACTGAACGCAAACCAAGAAGAATAATCGGTAGCTCATCGTACCAATCTCTAGTTCCATTCCTAGCCAAAATTGAAGTTTTCAATTGTCTATGGAATCGTTCCACAATACCATTACTTTGAGGATGATAGGAAGAAGTTGTGATATGATGACTACCAAGTAATTTAGTAAGTGCCGAAAATAATTTGGACGTAAATTGAGTACCCAGATCCGTCGTGATTTCTAAAGGCACACCGAAACGCGAAACATATTCATTAAAAAATTTATTTGCAACTGTCTGTGCAGAGATATCCTTTACAGCATATGCTTCCGGCCAACGAGTAAATCTATCCATAACACAGTGCTACAAAAAAAACAAAATTGAATACACTTTTGACGCGACCTAGTAGAGATTGTTCATCTGGTCGAGTTATCCACGAAACACCCTTCAAAGGATTTGTAACACCCCCAAAATCTGGATTTAAGGCCAAAAAACCGTTTTTTCAGAGTTTTCGTTGAAAAAAAAAATCATTAAAAATCTTATTTTCAACCGTTTTTTAAATTCTCAACGGTTTTGGGCAGAGAATTGTTGACACTTTCGAAATATATACAGTGTTTTGTTCATTTGAGAGGGGTATGAGATGTTTTTCACGCGAGAAGTTGAATTTTTTGAAAATTTTTTCGGTTTTTCCAGGTTTCGACGTAATTTTTTTGCCACTAATTGACAATGAATGAACTTCTTTGGGCATGTGTCATCGAGAGGCATTCACTACTTAATTACACAAGTGTTTTTTTTTGGGAAAGGACTTCAAGTTTTCAAGATATGCAGCATAATCCAAAATCAAATTTTTTGGTCTCAAGCGCCCTACAGGGGTACTATGTATTGGAAGGCGGGTCGATTTGAAAATCACCCAAGTGACAAGGAAAATCGTATTTTAGGGATCAAAATAAGATACTTTGCCGAAGGAAGCATACCTCTAAAACCAATTCTGATGTCCCGACTTCGTACTTTTGACCTTGAGCGCCAAAGCTTGAAAAATCCTAAGTTGACCCATTTAGAGTGCCCCAATCGTATTTAAATGTATGACCGACCCCCACTAACTTTGTAGGGCCGACCCACCCATGCCAGTGGAACCCCCCCTAAGACCCCACCTGTGGGGTTCCCCATACAAAAATTTCACAAAAACCCCCATTTTTAGCATTTTACATGAAAAAATCATTGCACGACAGCCAGTTATCTTTTTAACTCAATGTTAATTTGAAAAGTTGTCTAAACCGTACGAGTTTCAGCCTTCATTTAATGTTAACTCTAAGTCAAAAATATAAATTTGGCTGCGCAAGTGAACCTTTAGATAGCAAACAGTCGTTTTTAGCGATAGTTAGATTGATAACATATATATTTTTCATAAAATTTTGCACTCATTAGAACACGTTATACAAAACAATGGGAAATGTTTAACAATGGTTAAGATGTTAGCTAATTACTTTTGGAAGCTTATGTAGAAATGGGATGCAAAATGTTAATCAAGATAAAAAAAAAAAACCACTTTAAGATGCTCGCTAACTACATACCTCAACCAATTCGAATTAAAAATGTTTCCTGGATCTTTTGCGCTTATAATAAAGGTCGTCGGTTTCACGTTTGAGCGACCAGCAGTAATTAGCGATCATCTTAACGTGGTTTTTTCCAGCAAAGCGCTTTTCTATTGCCGAGATTTCCTGGTGAAATCGTTCACCTTGCTCGTCGCTAAACTGACCCAGATTATCCGGGAAGAAATCCAAGTGAGAGTGCAAAAAATGTATCTTGATTGACATTTTGCATCCCATTTCTCCATAAGCTTCCAAAAACTCTTGAACCACTTCCTTATAATTAGAACTTCTTTCATTTCCAAGATAAAACTCAGCCATGCTCTCTTTTCTACTTCGTTCAGTTTTTCGACAAAATTCTCATCAATCATCAGCTTGCGAATCTGGGGTCCGATGAAAATGCCTGTAAAGTAAAGAATTAAAATGGTTGCAGATGCGTTTTCGAAAAAATTAATAGTCGGCAAATTCTTCGAAAGTAGGTACCTTCTTTTATTTTAGCATCACTTAGTTTGGGAAAAACTGTTTCCAGGTGCAGAAATGACTCGCTGTTTTTGTCGAGTCGTTTTACAAATTGTTTCATGTAGCCCAACTTTAGGTGCAATGGCGGCAAGATAATGTTATCAGGTTTTACTAATGGGATATTGAGAACATTTTTAATTCCAATTTGAAACCCCTTTCTCGGAGGCCACACGCTACACTTGTAAGGATCCTTGGCACGACTGTCCCATTCGCAGAAATAGCACGGATGCTTAGTGTAGCCTCCTTGCATTCCCAGAAGTATTGTCAGAACTTTGAGGTCTGAGACAATTTGCTATTGATGTTTATTGTAATTGATTAATCGTAAAATCTTTTCCATCGTTTGATACGTCTCTTTCATATCAGTAGCGTATGCTATTGGAACTGTTGGCAAATGATTCTCGTTGTGAATTAATACTACTTTCAGACCTACGAATTTCGTGAATTAAACGTAAATTTTTTAATATTGCTTAATTTTGGTTTTCTCACACTTATGATAAATAAAATACTTACTTTTGCAAGAACCGTCCAGAAATAATCGCCAATCTTTTGCGCAGTACACGTGATCGAAGGCAGCAAACAATCCATCCACATCAACACAATATACAAGTTTATTGTCTATATCATCAGCCTTAAAAACTTCTTCGAATGACGATAAGTCTAAGTTTCGTGTGAATGTCACTTTAAAGTCATCATCCACTACCTTCCACTGTTTTATTCGTGAACCCAGGATCTCTGTTTCTCTATAAGACAGATTCAAATCTCGACTAAGATCACTATAATCTTGTCTAGATATAAAATGTCGTTCCTTTACTATTGCCCGATTTGGAACATACGACGAGTCCTCATTTTTTTCAATCGGGAACTCGCTGCAAGGGTCTGCTTGTCCGTTTGCAGTTGGCTCCCCTGTGTTTTCTTTCGGGGTTGGTCTCGATACAGTCAACACATTAGCATATTTTATGAGATTGCGAGTTTTGTAGTGATGGCCAACGGTATCTGTTTGGCTGAACTAGCAATCTTTCGACTTGTGATACGGTTGATAATGCCAAGTCATGGGAGTCTCAAATAACAAATGCTGGTTATAACACTTACCGGAGTTCACTTTCTTCAGTACTGCAGAGCACGTCGAGCAAACACTTTCGGGTTCATACCAAGCACTTTCAACGTATGAGAGTTTAAACAAGTCGTTGAAGGAGTGAACCACTGCTTGATTCTTTTTAAACTCCGAGCGATGTGGCTTGTCAACAAACAAGCCACACACGTAACAAAACCGGTTGCGTTTATCACACATTTCAATTTTTTTGGAGCGAATGATCCCGTGTAATTAATTACGCGAAGTTTATTAAGAATATGACGTTTTAGTGACTGCATTAATGACCAGATTCGCAATCTGACGATTGATGAAACAAGTAGAAAATACTGCTGAGTTTCATCTCTATGGGTAATAGCTATCTTGTAAATGAAGAAAGTTCAATATACAAGGAAGTGGTTCAAGAATTTTCGGAAACTAATTTAGAAATTGTATGCAAAATGTCCATCAAGATCCATTTTTGGCATTCTCATTTGGATAATCTTGGTCAGTCTAGCTACGAACTAGGTGGCCGATTTCATCAGCTTTACAGGAAAAAATTGTATTCATATCGGTATCGTTTCTCAGTTCAAAGTCAGAAATAATGCCATAAAAAAGGTTGCAGAAAACGCCCAAAGTCTCGAATTAGTAGTATATATTTACCAAACCCTCATTCTAAATCAAGTATATGATAAACATTAAAAATAAAAGTGCATTATTGCTCTGTTAAACGAAGATTAATTGGACAAACCGACATATCTCGACTTAGGTCATTATTGTTTGCGACCACTGATATATATGTTTTTAATCTAACTGTCGCTAAAAATGACTATTTGTTACTTAAAAAACCATCAATGTCCTTAAACTTAACCAATTTCTTAACTTACGCACAGTACCCCTATAGGACGTTTGAGACCAAAACATGAAATTTTGCATTATGCTGCATAACTTGAAAACTTTAAGTCCTTTCCAAAAATAAAAAAGTGGTATAATTAAGTAATGAATGCCTCTCGATGACACATGCCCAAAGAGGTTCATTCATTGTCAATTAGTGGCAAAAAATTTCAACTTCTGGCTTAAAAAACATATCATACTTTTTTCAAATGAATAAAACACTATATTTATTTCGAAAGTGTCAACAATTCTCTACCCAAAACCGTTGAGAATTTTGAAATCGGTTGAAAATTGGTTTTTCAATGAATTTTTTTTTAAGAAGAAACTGAAAAAACGGTTTTTTGGCCTTAAATCCAGATTTTGGGGGTGTTAGAAACTTTTTAATGGCCGTTTCGTGTATAACTCGACCAGATGAACAATCTCTGCTAGGTCGCTTCAAAAGTTTAAAATGGCTGTCGCACTGTGTAATTGTTAAAATGTAGCGCTAACCTCTTGAAACAGGAAGCGGTCCAACAATATCTAAATGTATATGTTCAAATCTGCTCTTCGGAATTGGAATTGTGCTCACAGGAGATTTTGTGTGACGATAAACTTTAGATTTCTGGCAACTTATACATCCTTTTGACCATATGTTTATCTCCTTGTTCATACAAGGCCAATAATACTTCTTCACAATTAATCGGCGTGTAGCCTTGGTACCAGGATGAGCAATTCCATGTAACATATCGAACACTGTCCTGCGCAAATTATTTGGAACGAAAGGTCTAGGACTTTCTCCTGACACTTCACACCAAATATTAAAATTTAGAATAGGAATTTTAATTAAATTAAGATTTTGAAACGTTTGTCCAGAAATAAGTTTATTAAGTTCATTGTCCTGTTGCTGTTCACTCTGTAAAATTTTGAAATTAAGTTCTGAACTTTTAATCACATCTATTTCAAACGCACGAGATAACGTGTCAGCTACAATGTTGGTCTGTCCTTTAATATACTGTATGTCACTAGTAAACTGTGCAATAAACTCAAGATGCCTTGTCTGTCTTGGACTACGCTCAGTTTTGGAATTTAGAACAAAAATCAAGGGTTTGTGGTCAGTAAAAACCGTAAACTGTCTTCCTTCTAATAAATACCGAAAATGTTTAAAATTCAAATAAATTGCTAAAAGTTCCCTGTCAAAGGCACTATATTTCATTTCTGCTGGAGAGAGTTTCTTTGAAAAGAACGCAAGTGGTTCAGACTTATTATTGAAATGCTGCTGTATGACACCACCAATTGCTGTATTGGATGCATCTACCGTTAAAGACAATTTTGCATCTTTACTAAAATGATTTAGCAAAATCATAGATGCAAACTTCTCTTTAATGCATTCAAAAGCTTTAATGGATTTGTCATCCCAAACCAAAATTTTGTCTCGCTTTTTACTTGTTTTATTAATTAAATCATATATAACTCCAGTAAACTCAGCTAATTTTGAAATATATCTATGGTAATAGTTAACCATACCAATAAACTTTTGCGCTTGTTTTATTGACTTCGGTCGTTCAAAATGGCGAATCGCTTCTACTCTGTTTACAGAATTCTGTATCCCTGCCTCAGATAAACAATGTCCTAAAAAATCTATACTTGGAACACCAAAAATGCATTTGCTTGGTTTGACGTTCAAACCATACTCAGACAAACGTTCGAAAAGTACCCGTAGATCATTTAAATGTTGTTCTTCACTCTCACTTGCAACCAGTAGATCATCAATATACGCGAAAACAAAATCTAATTTACCTACTACTTCGTTGATGAATCTCTGAAACGTTTGCGCTGAGTTCCTCAGCCCGAAAGGCATTCGGGTGAACTCAAACATACCGAAAGGAGTAGTAATCGCCGTTTTAAAAATGTCTTCTTCTGCCATTGGAATTTGGTGATACGCTCTAACTAAATCTAACTTTGAAAATATATTTTTATTCCTAAGGTTCATATTAAAATCGTGAATATGAGGCAAAGGATAACGATCCGGTACAGTCACATTATTAAGTCTTCTAAAATCACCACAAGGACGCCAGTCATTAACTTCTTTCTTTGGTACTAAATGAAGTGGAGATGCCACGGATGAATTTGATGGTCTACAAATCCCTGTTTTTACCAAAAAATCGAATTCAGTTTTAGCTACTTTAAATTTGATGGGATCTAAGCGCCTTGGCTTAGAAAAAGGAAGGTTTCCTTCAGTGACAAGTCTGTGAACCGTTGTATGCTTAACCGGTTTTGAGTAATCTGGCTCAGAAATAAGGGAAGGAAATTCCTTCAATAATTTTGTATATTGATCATCTACTGAAAAAATTTTTGGAAGAGGGGCATTGCAAAAGTACGAAATTGTATTAACTGATAGATTTGTTAACGGATCTACTAAACACTTGTTTTTAATATCAATAAGAAGTCCATATTTACACAAAAAATCAGCTCCTATAATCGGCTTCGCAATATCAGCAATCAAAAATGTAAAAAGGAACTCACGCCTTAGACCCAAATTAATATTCAAAAGTTTCTTCCCGTATGTAAAAATAGTTGAGCCGTTAGCTGCCGTTAAAATTATATCTGAAGATTTCCTCGTATTCGAAAATTTAGAAACTGGAAGTACCGAAATTTCTGCTCCGCTATCAATTAAAAAATTTAGTTTGTTTGTTTTGTCAAATATAAAAAGGCGACGTGTGGAAATGTCCAAATTCCCGTTGTTTGTCGCCGCAACAACTGACGACTTTAGTTTGTTGGACTATTATTTTTCGAAAATGCACATGGTTGTTCACATTTTTTAGCCTTGTTTCCAAATTTATAATGATATCTACATAACCAATTCGGATTGTCGCGTGATTTTGATCGATATCTAAAAGGGCTCCTAAAACGATTCCTATTCACTGAACGTGACCTTGAATAATTTTGATTCATTTCCCTCCTCATTTCACATAATTCCAAAGAAAGTTTTTCAAAATTTTTAAAAATAAGAGAAGTAGTGTTAACCAAATTAGCCATGACTGCATTTTCACCTTTTGAATTTTGAAAATCATTAACTGAAGCTATCTCGCTTTTGCTAATAACCTCCCAAACATTATCAGCCAATTTCGTCAATTCACTAATACTGCTTGAATTAGAACTAGCTAAAATCACGCTTAGGTTCTTCGGTAACTTCCTCATCCAAAGTTTCTTAAGAATTTCTTGACTAAAATTGGAACCAGAAAGCAGTACAAGTGACCGATAAAATTCCGAGGGCTTACGATCACCCATTTCAGTATCCGATAAAATTTTGTCTAATTTCGCATTCTCACTTAATGAATGCCGTTCAATTAAAATTTTCTTAAGTGAGGTAAATTTATTATTTTCGGGCGGATTTTGAATAAAGTCTAAAATCGTTATTATAACTTCTTGCGGAAGTGCAGTAATTGTATGTTCATACTTTGTTGTTTCTTGTGTAATATTTTTGGTACTAAACTGCATTTCCGCATGAATAAACCACGCTTCCGGACAACTTGTTCAGAATTGTGGTAGTTTGACCGATGTAGCACAAATCTCATTACTATTTCGATCGACATACGGATTTGTTAACTGTTCATTAAACGTACTATTTTGTAAATCAATAAGAGTTTCATTTAAATTATCTCGTGTAGATGTATGTGTATCATGTTGTGGTGAACGAAACATTTTGATTATTTGAATTTGAGCAAATATCAAAA